CTTTCAGCAAATTTTCGTAATTTCTTTATTTTTATTATTTTTCCTGCAACGAAAATGAACACATTGCATTGGCAGCGGCTGCAACGTCAGCAGCGACGCCATAACCAATCAATTCTTCAGGGTGGTAAGTTGACTTGCAGCTTTGCCGGTTTCAGGACGAACAAACCGACCCCACAGAACTGTTGCCGCCAGCTGTGCAAGGCAATACAAACCCTATATCACAGGGGCCTCTCTTCCGAACCCCTCCTTCATCTCTACCGTGCAAGCTTTGGCGTGTAAATGTAGCAAGGACGTGGCACGCTGCGCGCTATAAATGTTGCATGAAAAGAAAGGCTGCAACGACCACATGTTCGTTTATGTGTATGTGTGTGTTTGTGTGATTTAAGAAAATCGGAAGTGCTGATTGAAATCGTTTTGGCGTGAAATCAATCATCGCGTTCACATTCGTTAAGGATCTCAAAAATTTCATTAGTGAACTTAATGTGATTTGTGTCAATTGTCGTGATTACTTGCCATCTCTCTTCTGCATAGCCAGCAGGAATGGGCGCTGCTGCTGATGCTGATGATGTTCGAATGTGGGACAATTTTTTACAGAAAATTGTATCAGAGTCAAGCTTTGGCTGTGAGCAAGGAATACTATTTAAGATTGCTTATGGAAAATTGACACCCGTATTTGGAACAAAAATTTACACTTTTGCGATAAATGTGGAAGAATTGGTGTCTGTGCATATTGTGTAACAGTTGCATCTAAATTTTTTCCCGAACTCAGTAGAAACTCAAAATAAAAATCGATAATAATATGTTATCGATAAGTATCGGAAAATGCTATCGATTTTTATTATGAATAAACTGAAATTTCACTAATAATGTGGTTGTCGTATTGAATATTTTAGCCTCTAAAAAAAACGAGCCTTTGAAAAAATTATCGATTTATTTTTCTAATAGTGTTAATGATTATTTATATTTTTATTTCATTAACTGTATAAAATAAATATTAAAAATCCATCATCAATTTATTTTTTGAATAGTGTTATCGATTATTTTTATTTCATTAACATTAAAATAAATATTAAAAATCCATCATCAATTTATTTTTTGAATAGTGTTATCGATTATTTTTATTTCTTTAACTATATAAAATTAATATTAGAAACCATTATCATCAAGCAAGTTAAAAATTATCGATAAATTTTTTGAACAAAATCATCGATTTAAATAAATATATGTTTTTTTGTTTTTGTATTGTACACATGAAGAACTTCCCTAATATTGTGATTATCGTATTGAACATTTTAGTTCTATAGAAAACAGGCGACTGAAAAATTTATCGATATATTTTAAAGAATATTGTCTATTATTTATATAATAACTGTATAAAAAAAAATATTAGAACTCAATTATCGATCAATTTAAAAATTATCGATATATTATTTTAATTAGTTATCGATTTTTTATGTTTTTATTTCGATTCTGTATAAATATATAAAAAAAACAAAGTAACATTACACTATTATATCCATTATATCCAATATTTTAATCCCTATAGAGGCCATAAGCAAAAAATGTTATCGAAATACAAGGCAAATCTTGGGATATCAATTACGAACGGACTTAAAAATAAATTTTTATTTCATGATTTCTTCCGATTTTAACTTGATGTCACTATATTAAAACCGGTTACTACCTTTAAAAACCCTTGCTACATTCATCACCAAGCAATTTCTTTCTACTGAACTTTCCGCATACTGCTACAGTCTTACCAATAACCACTCCACCCCCGAAGCATTCAACGTTCCACATTCATCAAGTGCGCAATTGCAAATTGAAATGAAAATCCCAGCAATGGCCAAAAGAATACAAAAAGTGGGGGTAATAAATAGAAACCTCATAGCGAATATTAGAAAACTATTCCGAGTAAGAGCAAGCGAAGGACAACCAGAAACGGGAATGTGATTCTAATAAGTAACGAGGAAAGGCAGAAAAAATGACTGAGGAAATAAAAAGCGCACATGAAGACAGAACATATCAAGAGAACAGCTGTAAAAAAGCAACAATTGTAGAAAACGCTACAGCGATAGCAACAACAACCACAACATATTGAGTGCACAAACAACAAATGCAATAACGACAACATATAATCAAATAAGCATGCAAACCGGATATGAAAGTCAAGTGCTTGCGCCGCAGAGAGTGGTGGGGGTTAGAGGAAGAGGACGGGGGAAGCTGCTGTTGGCAAAAACACCCCAGAAAATTTGCAGTATTTGCAATGTTTCTGTTTTGAAGCTGCAGCAGCCACCTTCATCTAATAGCATTAAAATGTAAATCAATGCTGCTGAGTATGAATTGTAAGCAATCGAGAAAGCGTACATACCAGGCGAGTTTACTTCTAAGGCACCTGTTAGGAAATATTGCCCAAATTTTGCAATCAATGACAGGTGGAGGAAAGATTTGCTAGTATGTTTTCAAAAGTCTGTCCCGAAATAAAATAACATGAATCCCGAAAAAAAACTACAAGACGATCCATGTTCCTTGAGATTCGGATTACGTAACCGGAAAGAAATTGGGTTCAAATTAGGTTTTACTATAATAAAATACTACAATCGAAATAGTAGTCATCAATCGATTTTAGAAAAAATTTCATTCCTCAGTTGCTGCAAATGAAAAAAATTCGGGATTCGCATTTAATATGATTTAAGTTTCTAAAACTTGAATCACTTCATTTCGCAATTGAATGCTATGACAGCGAAGAATTTCTATTGCAAATGTGTTTAAAATTTTCGGGATACCGATCTAACTTTTTTCCAATCCCGAAAGTTTTACTATTAATTTATAACTTCGTTGAGTTTCTATTAAAAAATTATAAAATATTTTCATTATCCCGAACTGCATTTTTTTCAGTCCCGAAATTTCAGGATTTATAAAAAATATTAAAAACCCACATAAAATCTTTAGTAAGTGCCATTAAAATTTTCTGGTAACCATTTCCCGCAGGGTACGTGCCATCTTCACATCTATCATAGAAAAATCCGTGCGTGCTTATGCACCCTTAAGTCTCTACAAGTGTTTGAAGTGCATGCTAGTAGATTTATAGCGCTTTTTTGCACATTTTTTAAAGCAATCACAATCAATGTAAGTGAAATTTGTTCTACTATTTGTTCTTGGGCAAGAAAAATCACAAAACATGAGAGCTGGTTAGTGCTTTTGCATAAATGATGAAGAGATAAAGTGGGAAGGTGAAGGGGTATTTTAATTTTAGGTGGATTTTTTTTTTTTTGACATTCCTAGATACATACATATATAACATTCTTGACTGTTTTCATCAAAATGTTTTTGGTTTTTTTTTTTTTTTTTTTTTTTTTTTTTTTTTTTTTTTTTTTTTTTTTTTTTTTTTTTTTTTTTTTTTTTTTTTGCAGAAAATAATTGAAAGAAAGGTTTGCGTCACGGTTTTTCCTTCATTGTTGAGGAATCAATCATATAATCATATTATATGGCATGGTATCTAAAGATTTCGTACTATTACAACCGGTACATACTTAGTAAATCAGTAGAAAATGACAATGATGTTTTGTGGTCTACGAAATAAGTCTAACATTACGTAGTCTCGTTTTTAAAATTCAACGAAAAGCAATTTTTATACTCTCGCAACAAAGTTGCTAAAGAGAGTATTATAGTTTTGTTCACATAACGGTTGTTTGTAAGTCCTAAAACTAAAAGAGTSAGATATAGGGTTATATATACCAAAGTGATCAGGGTGACGAGTAGAATTGAAATCCGTCTGTCCGTCTGTCCGTCCGTCCGTGCAAGCTGTAACTTGAGTAAAAATTGATATATCATGATGAAACTTGGTACATGTATTTCTTGGCTCCATAAGAAGGTTAAGTTCGAAGATGGGCAAAATCGGCTCACTTCCACGCCCACAAAATGGCGGAAACCGAAAACATATAAAGTGTCATAACTAAGCCATAAATAAAGATATTAAAATGAAATTTGGGACAAAGGATCGCATTAGGTAGGGGCATATTTGGAAGTTTCTTTTTTGGAAATGTGGTCGTGGCCCCGGCCCCTACTAACTTTTTTGTACATATCTCGAAAACTACTATAGCTATGTCAACCAAACTGTATATAGTCGTTTCTTTTAGGCATTTCCATGTACAGTTCAAAAATGGAAGAATTCGGATAATAACCACGCCCACCTCCCATACAAAGGTTATGTTGAAAATCACTAAAAGTGCGTTAACCGACTAACAAAAAAGGTCAGGAACACTAAATTTTACGGAAGAAATGTCAGAAGGTAGCTGCATCCAGGCTTTTTTTAAGAATTGAAAATGGGCGTGGCGTCGCCCACTTATGGACCAAAAACCATATCTCAGGAAGTACTCGACCGATTTCAATGAAATTCGGTATATAATATATACTTAACACTCTGATGATATGTACCAAATATGGGTGAAATCGGTTCACAAGCACGCCTGAAATCCCGATTATCACTTTATCATGTGAGAGTATAAAATGTTCGGTGACACCCGAACTTAGCCCTTCCTTACTTTTTTTCAATTAATTTTGTAAACTTTGCAAATATAAATAAATAAATGATAAAAAAAATTATAAAAAAACAAAAAAGGTTTTTTTTTTTTTTTGTTTTGTCAGTTGCCAATGAACATTCCAAATTCAGGCCTCTGGGCGAGAATTCCCACTTAAACTACGCCTCAAGGCCAAAGCAGTTGCACCGACTTTCCAAAAAATTTTAAACTAGCCCATTTGCGCCTTGTGTATTCAGTAATAAGAAATTTGATTACTTTTCCAATACTCTTAATGAAGAGAGCGAAAAATATTTTACTTCACCTGACATCTGTGGTGAATTTATGATTTTGTTCCTCGTAAGGGAATGCTTGTAGCACAGTTTCTTTGGCAAATATACATATGCACAATTCACAACAAATATAATTTAATCTAAATCATAAATATAGCAAATTATTTAAAATAGATTCATTCACACTTACCACATATTCGTCTCCGAAAATCTCTTTATATCAGCTCACATCATGGACACTCATGAAAAGTCAGTCTGCACATTAGTTTTTGCTTTATTACTAGTTCTATCATTAATACTAATTTATTTTCACACACGATTTCACAGCACATTTTAATGAATAACACTAATCATTGACACACTACCGACAAACTGAACGATTTTAATTAAATACTTAACACGCGATTTTCATTGACCGATCAAACAAACGACGCATAATTACGCACTGCACAAAATTTAACACACACGATCACTTTTCGCAGTGGAGAAACTTCGCGAAAATAACGAACTACAGCAACGCCATAAGAAAACGAACGAGAACCAAACGCAGCGATCGACTCAAGCACTATTAAAAAATGACTTATTTACTTTTTACTCTTTTAATAAACTCGGCTGTACTTATTTGCATTATTTTCACTTTGTTGACTTGTCAAATAATATTTTATTTTAATATAATAATTTGCTTATAGTTTTACTTGTCCAAAAGTTGATTTTAGTCCAGCATCGCACAAACTTCACTAATTAACATTGAGCGCTGGCAGCAGAAATATTTTATGCGTGACCTTGTAATTGTTGTCCTTAGTTGTTGCTGGCTTTGACTGAAAAGAGAAAGAGAGCAAATGCGCAAAATAAAAACAAAGTTAATCAAGAATGTAGTAGGCAATGTTTTTGTAATAATAACATCACACTTATTATTAGAGTGTGACATTAATTAACATAACAATTAAAGAGTTCATACAATTTTGGGAATTTTACAAAAAGAGTGAAACTAAAATTATGACCTAATTTATATTGTTTTTAAAAATGTTATCGCGTTTTTAATTTTTATTTGTATGCTGTGTAATTTTGATAAAAAAAAAAACAATTGTCGAGCAGTTGAAAATTAATTGATATTTATGTTATTGATAGTTATCGGATAATAATTTCGATTTTTTATAATTAATTTATAAAATAAGTAAAGAGTTCTTAAAATACAGGACATTTTAGATCAAAAGTAAAATTAAGATATGGATATTAGAACTCTTTAAAAATTTTTGTAAAAACGATCATTTTTATTTTTATATAATATTATATATACATTTTTAAAATAACTCAATTATCGATTAATTAAAAATTAATCGATGTTTATGTTATCGATAGTTATCGAATATTTATATTTCTTTTTTTTTATAATTAGTTACCATAATAATTAAAGAGTTGATAAAATACAGGATTTGAGTGGTTTTGAATTTTTGAAAACCCAGTAAAAACCAATATGTTCATGTTATCGGTAGCTTTCGGATAATAATGCGAATTTTCATAACTAATTAAAACAATGATTAAAGAGTTGATAAAATTAGAACGGTTATCGAGAAATTAATCAATATTTTATATTATCGGTAGTTAGCGCATAGTAACATCGATTTTTCGCAATTAATTGATATAATAATTAAAGAGCTGGTAAAATTGTAGATATTTTTGGCTTAAAAGTAAAATTAAAGTATTGAATTATTATAATAGATAGTTGTCATATGCTTTAGTTTATGCAGAAAACGAGCGGTTAAATAATTATCGATATTTTTGAAAAACAAAATTACCGACTTTTTGTATTTTTATAAGCAAAGCAGTATTCTATATTTACTAGGCCTCAATTATCGAGCAATTTAAATAAATTCGATGTATGTTTTGAGAAAAAAATTATCGAAAAAAATTCTAAATATATGCTTTGAGAAAAATGTTATCGAAAAAACTGTCGATACACGTTGTGAGTAAAAAATTAACAAAAAAATTTTCGATATATATTTTGAGGAAAAAATTATCGATTTTTTTATATTTCTTTGCTTTGATTATCCATATTGATATCCTGCCATACATATATTCGTTCATAATTTTATAAAGTCATTTTTAAAGTCATGGCTTTTATACAATTTTTTTTTTTGTTAGCATTGGAAGGGCTTGAATTTCTATTTATTATTTTGAAAGCCAAAATTTTCAGAAATGACTATAATGATTTTTTAAGGTTTTGTATTGTAAATTATTCTTAAAAAGCGTTTTCTATAACTTTGGCAATTCTAACTTTTCGACAAAACTAACACTAGCGATCACATAAATGCATACCCCCTCATATCACAGAAATTATGGCAATATACAATATGAAAAGTTCGTTCCATTAGCCTTTGGAGGTGGATCGACAGAACAAATTCGTACCGTCATTTGACGATGTTATGACAATCGGAGTAGAAGACTTTGTTATTTCGTTGGAAGTTTGAGAGTTCGTTCTTTTATGATGCTGCAATCTTGTCCCTGTCATTTTAGTCAGATCATATCATAATTACCTTACCATTACTGTTTCATACATAAACTGAGGGAAACAGCTTAGTTGTATTTAATGTATGTTTTGAATTTTAAATTAAATAAGAAGAAGAGAAGAACCTCAATACAAGTATTGAGGGGGACTATATTATATTTCAAAAACAGGATTTGAATCAATTTGAAGAAGACGTTAAGCATGTAAACTCCAGTCTCTCAACATCCGAAGCTCCCTAAACTCTGGTAACTGCATTCAGTGCCGCGTCAGTTGCAATTCAAAAATATTTATTTTTTTACTTTATCTACTAACTGTCTCTTTATACCATGCAATACTGATGCAAATGCAAATATAAAAAGCATGAATATTTCATAGAAAATTGACTTTCAATCAAACTAATATTTTCTCTTCACCGTTATTTATTCGTCGCCAACAAAACCAAAATATCAAAAGGTTAATTGCCTAAATGGCCGGCGGATATTGAACACCTGCAACGAAGGCAGCTCAATCAGCGTATATAACCGGAATATACCCGGTAAAGAAATTATTGGTGTGCATTTTCGTAGGAGTACTAATATAATATGTTAGAAGACCTTAACTTGTGCCACATTTTTGATGAATTTTTGGGCTCTAGGTTTTCTATAGTCAAGCAATATATAATGTTTGACAAAATTCCTGTTAGTTTATAAGGCTTCTAGAGGATCCCGAAACAATATGCAGTTTAATGCTCGGACTTGTGTATGCAGGGAACAAATTTATTTTAATTTGTTAAAAATTTTCGAAACTGAGCCGTTAACGCAATGCTTAAATTTCACTACCACTTAGAAATCCTTTAGGTGACTTCCCCCATTCGGAACTGGTTCACTGTTCTACAGGACAAAGTACATTTAGCAAGCAACGTTACCATATAAATACAAGCTCCCACTGTACGCTGTCTAGGCATTTAAAATCTATATATCAAATGTCAACGAGGTTAGTGGCGGTGACACCGTTACGCCAACAGCCACAATGCCGGCTGGTAACTGTAACCGCAGGACGACATAGAAAACAACGAAAGTAGTGGAACTGCTGTCCTTGTATGAGTGGTACGAGTGCGCAGCAGAAAGTGAGTTAGAGCACGGGAGTGAGTCTGTCTACACGGGTAAAGCTGTTAAAACTAATTGGGTGATAAATTCATTGCAAAATTTATAACTATTCGAATGGTGCAACGAAGCGGCACACAGCTACTACGAAGTCTAAAAATCAACAAGCGGCAGCAAGCAAGTGTATACAAAAGCAGTTGGTGTATGTAATGTTTGAAATTTCTAGATCCCGAAGTTTCATCCATCGTTTTCCAGAGGGCCACTAGCAAGTCCAAAAATCAAAAAATCGGCAGTAAAATGGAGTACAGGAATGCAGGTGCTTAATGCAATGTTTTGATTCTCTGAATCGGGGTCCCAAAAGGCTACGAACAAGTCTAAAAATCAACAAGCGATAGTAAGCAGCTGCACACGAATGTTTTATGCAATGTCTTAGTTTCGGGATCCCGAAATCTTGAGGTAAAAAATTCGGGATCCCGCATGCTTTGATTTCTTTTATATAATTTTTGAGTTTGTTATGATAATTTTTAAATTAAAAAAATGTTCTTTGTTAAAAAAATTTAAAAAGCTCGATTTGAAAATTTCGGGATCCCGARWWTTGTTTACAAAAAATTTTTTTTATATAATATAATTAATTTTTAATTTTATATCTAAAATATAAATATAATTAAATAAAAATACCGAAATTGCGGTCTTAATCGGGACTGATTTACTCTATTGCTTTTAAACTGGAAATGGAAGTGTTAGAAAGGAATGTGTGCATTTAGAAGTCTAATGTGTGGTACTATTGCCCTAACGGTGGTCCTGTATATATTTATTTATACTTCCGTTAGGTACATATCTGTATTGTATGTACAACTGTTTGTTTTGGCAGCCATTTGCATTAGTTTTACCTTTGCCGATCCGCATGGGTTTGGCAAAAGCTGTCTAGACGGGCGGACGAGCTTCAGTCGGACATTAGAACGCACACACACAAACAAATGAAAAGCCAGCACCGTTGACAAAAATTGCAAAAGCTTAAAAATACATTCGCTCTCGTAAAATAAACAAGAGTATAGCGCTAATATTTTTGAGGTCACAGCTGTGGGGCATACCAACACTAGTCCACCTCTATCCAATCGCTTAACACCAACTGAATAGTTGCCTATCTTCATGGCAGACACCGTTTCATGTCATCATTATTTTCTTTGTTGCGGTAAAGAACCGAAATGGCGAAAACGCCAAAGAAAACATGCAACATTTAGATGACAACAACAATGCGAGCGAAATTAGAAAGTAGAACGGTAAATATGCATGTCAACCCTTTCGCAAATAGCGCCGAAACAATACGACAAGTGGTGCGCTCCCATTTACTCGACACGAAAATGGCGGTGGTGGAAAAAATTGCAAAGCAAAAAATATAACAGCAACAACAAAAGCAAACATAAATCAACAAAAAAGCGCAGTCATTTCGTAATCATCGTCGTTTATGCCTGAATAATGTTAACAAAATAGTTTACGACATTGGTGACAAGTCGACATCGCGTGCGCTAAACGCTCGGCACGACGAGTGTGAGGGGGAGCGGAGTTGGTGTAACTACGCGGGCGTGTATGGGGAATTGAGACAGACAGTTTGGTTAGCTGTAATAGGATATATTATGTAGGTATGTATATTCAAGCAAAGCTAAATACAACTATGAGCCATATTGGTACTACGGTACGGTGCAAGTGTATGTGTGCGTGTGTGTGTCTGCCGTGCATTTGCCTGGTAAGTTTTATGAGTTTTTGCATAAATGGTTATGGCGCACATCCGGTTTGTTAGCATGTAAAAAATGTCTAGGATGCGCCCACTGACAAGTCAGCAGCAGGATTGCCAAGTGGCAATAAATTGTCTTTTAGTGTGCCAGTTTCAGTGAATGGAACAACAAAGTTGACTGAGGATTTCATTTTAGAAATGGCACGTAAAGAGTTTGTTAATTACAGGTGAGTTCTTAACAGCGATTTGGGGTCGGAGATCCTTAATATCTCCGACACTGTATTTATTTTGTCTTGACCTCCGTCTGAAACCTCAGATAAGTTTCAGTCATTAGGATATTTTAGAAAAATATTAAAAAAAAAAAAGTTTTTCTGCAGCCGGCAACTTTTTGAAATTTTGCAGCCCCTAGCGAGGAAAAGAGTCACTAAAAATGTGATTATAAAACTAGACCGAAAATAACTAGTTGCGAGGAATAATATAAATATCCTACAATATTGA